AATTTTTGATTGTGAACAAAAAAATTGTTTAAGCCTATTAGCCTGCCAATGGCGTTTAATTCAGAATTCTTAATAAATCCCAGTATTATTTCCATAGTGAGAATACACATGCTTCTTTGACATACTTCTTTGATAGGCATTTAGAAGCTGGAGTACTAAGTAAGGATAAGAATTTATGGATGAACAACTTCTTTATTACAATTAAGAGCAACGTTTCGGTGTAGGTTCTAACACCATTATCAAGCAAGTTCTTTGACATAACTGGGTAACATGCCGGCTAGTCTCTCCTCTATACTGCCCTTCCATGAAAGACTCCATTCATCAGTGTAGACATGTATTGATCAAACGTAACAAACGGAACGAAAAAGATCCAACATTTTGAGCAGTACTTTTACTCACAACAAGTGTACATGCTGATGCTATATTACTGACCTAGATTTACCAATATTTGAAAGACACGTTCAAAGTACCTCAATGCAGGATTATGTCTCTCACAGATCCACTTCAAGCCTGAAGCAGAGTTACTGTAATTCCTTACAATACATAGCAGAAAGACTTTTAGAAATCTGAAACATTTAAATGAATTTGAAGACTTCAAATTATTCTGGAATATTTACTTTAAAAGGAAACATTCACAATAATAACTGAACAATCAACCTTCAAGTTATTATGAAACATTGATTAAGATAAGACAGATTCAGATCAACATGAAACATCCAGATTTTTATGAAACATTCATTTAGATTAGACACATTCAAATCCATGTGAAACATTCATATTACTCTGAAAAATGTAAATGAATCAAACACACATCTAAAATGTACTCCCCACACCCACCCAAAAAAAACAAAAACAAAACACACATACACAAAACAAAACGTTAACTTCAAACATTCAGATTATTCAAACACATTCAAATGAATACAAAATATTTCAAGATGATCTGAAACATTGAATTCAAATCAGACTGTTTCATCAGCAAATTTACTGTTCCCTAACAAATGTGTGGGGTTGGCTGTAGTTCTGAAACAAGTGATGACTTGACAAGATTAATCAGCTGATGTCCTGCTCACAGTTCCTGATCCTATCATCAAAGCAAGTAATCTAAGTGTTCTGCGTGAAGGAATTTTAATACTAAGTATGCAACCAACAGTAATTGTCAATCATGTAAATTCTTATTTAAAGGATAAGAAATATGAGTTTTAAAAATAATATTGTCAAAGGTAATGTCCTAATCTCTAGAGCCCTTACTCAAGAGCATTTATTTAATACTCATGCCCCTCTCCCTCTGCTCAAGAGCATATAGGCTCTGGGTCACTCTCTTAAGAGCATAAGCTATGGAGCATCCTCTCAAGAGCATACACTCTGGGTAACTCTCTCAAGAGCATAAGCTCCGGGTCATTCTCTCAAGAGCAGAAGCTATGGAGCACCCTCTCAAGAGCATACTAGCTCTGGGTCACTCTCTCAAGAACATATTAGCTCTGGGTCACTTTCTCCAGAGCATAAACACTTGGTCATTCTCTCAAGAGGATAAGCTCTGGGTCACTCTCTAAAGAGCATATACGCTCTGGGTCACTCTCAAGAGCCTAAACCCTAGGTCATTCTCTCAAGAGCACAAGCTCAGGTTCACTGTCTCTAAGAGCATGAAGCTATGGGGCGCTCTGAGCAGAGGTTTATGATTCCGCTTTCTGCATTATTTCAGCTACATAAGGCCATTTTATGGCTGGAATATTGCTGACTGCGGCATAAAACAACAAACAAGTATATATAATGACAGGAAAACCAGAATGGTCTCCACAGATTGTAGCCACATGGGGATTCTAACCCCTTCTTTGTCCTCACAAGCAAATCGTCTAACACGCAGACGGCTACCAAAGTTGGCCATGCAGTCATTCACTGCTTTATATGGTGCACATAATCACCAAGAAAGTGACAAATTAGGTCTTCCTCTTCAGAGTTGTCCCTCCGGGTAAACCGACACTCTACGTTATCAAACAGTTGCACACATCCGCCACGGTGAGCTGACTCATAAAATGTCTATGTGTTCATCTAGATGACCTTTAGGCTGCCATGTGAACTGAATGTGTTGTCTGTCACCATGTACAAGGGGAAAATGTGATGGGGTGAGAAAATTAAAAACATGAATTAACCTTTGATCGAGGAGCATGATTGCCTGTTCGAAGTAGAAGGTTAAATATACTTAACATAATGCAAAATCTGAGATCATTATTTCATCAAATCATTCTATATAATTAAAATGTTCAAATTGATGACTAAATTGAAATTCCCAAATTGAATTGTTAATTTGAAATGTATTTTAGTCAACCCTACATTCCTACACTGACAAGTTATGTAAACAATGAACTCAGGGCAAGCCTATGCAAAGTTAACTTTGGTTTTTTTTCACATTCCATCAGTGATAGGCATAGTCGAAGTGTTATGTGTTTTCACGCAACAGAGATATAATCGGGCAACATTTACCTAGAAAACCACAATTCTTCAGCTCATACTGGCTAAGGCCTTTAAATACCCCGAGCTTACAAAGAGCAAAGCGTCCACACACGTAGCCTTGAAGAGCATGCCAAGCAGAAACTGATAAACTTCAGTAAACAACAACGGATGATTTACACAGCTAAGCGAAAATGTCACCAAATGCCACAAGAAATTGTCATAAAAATGTATGAATTAACACATGCAGACCCGCTTCAAAAGTGTTTGTGATATCATATCATTCTTTATCGCTGCATGTGGGTTGAAAGGAATCCTTAACAAGATCTAACAAAGACGAAACTGAGATCACTCCATGCCAGATGCACTGCAACTTGTTGCTTGCACCTCGTCAACCCTGCAATACGCCACGAGCTACAAGATACAGACAATGCCCGTTTTAAACGATGTAACATTCTTATTGTGGTGCTAGTAGTGATAGTTTGTGGTTGTATTTGCAATAATCAAAACCTTACCTTTAGCTGAAGTTGTTAACTGACTGTCGCTGTACCGTCCCAGGCTGTAAGTCTCTAGTCCAATGAATCACTTTCGCGCGTGGGTGTGTCCTCGCCACACTATGGAAGCCTTGCGTGGACAAAATACCGCCTCTTATGACCAGCAGAGGTTGCTTTGGACCTTTCTAACCAGTAATCCTCGCGGGATTTCTCATATGGATAAAACTGAACAATTTGTTTAGTACTGATATAGGTTTATATATTTAATGATTTAAGAAATTGTATGCACGAAAGCCCATAAAACTCGCTAAGCAGATTTTGTCATCGTTTTTAGTTTCCCCATGGTTTCACTAAGTTATACCGACCTGTGCACGTCCGGGATAGAATAGGTCTTCAACAACCCATGCTTGCCGTAAAAGGCGACGATGCGTGTCGTATGATGCGACTAAAGGGATCGGGTGGTCAGGTTCGCTGACTTGGTTGATGCATGTCATCGATCCCAATTGCGCCGACCTGTGCACGTCCGGGATAGAATAGGTCTTCAACAACCCATGCTTGCCGTAAAAGGCGACGATGCGTGTCGTATGATGCGACTAAAGGGATCGGGTGGTCAGGTTCGCTGACTTGGTTGATGCATGTCATCGATCCCAATTGCGCCGACCTGTGCACGTCCGGGATAGAATAGGTCTTCAACAACCCATGCTTGCCGTAAAAGGCGACGATGCGTGTCGTATGATGCGACTAAAGGGATCGGGTGGTCAGGTTCGCTGACTTGGTTGATGCATGTCATCGATCCCAATTGCGTCGGTCGATGCTCATGATATCAATCACTGGATTGTCTGGTCCACGCTCGATTATTTACAGACCGCCGTGCGGAGTAAAACAAGCAAACAAACAAACCAAGTTACGAGGCTGCCAACCCCATTTTACTTCGCGCGATTCGGGTGTATAGTAAGAGGTTATTCGGGAGTTTTTACGCAGATTCCACTTTGGAATATATAGTAATGGTGTACGAAAAATATACATATTTTATTTGTTTCGATATTTTATTCAGTAATTTGACTTCAAATAGAACCTTACTCCCAATACTTTCGGGATTTGCTTTAAGTAGTACATGTATTCGGGATTCAGGGGTGAGCATTGAGACTTAGTGAAAAATTAGATAGTATTCAGGATTCAGGGAAGAGTGAGGTGGGGACACCCTCAGTTACTGTATAGACAACATGATCTCCAGGATGATATGCCATTGTGGCATAATCTTGAAGATCACGAACTCTCAGGATAATCTTAACATCGTTTATTGGGAAGATGTTTCAAACAGTCCCAGTCTCCCTACCAAAGGCACATTTCTCCCGGCATCTGCAGTTGGAAACAAAAAGTATTTAGGGAACGAAACATTGGTTCGACGTGGCATTCCACGCGTACTTCGACGTACAAAATTTCGTGAAATACCTTAATGGAAATATCTTGGCCAGTGTTAAAAGTGAGTGAGTGAGTGAGTGAGTGAGTTTGGTTTAACGCCACTTTTAACAGTATTCCAGGTATATCGCGGCGTGTCAGCTTAATGTGGGAGGAAAGCCCGAATTGATGCAGGTCTCAGACGTTTACCACCTCGGTGAAACCCACGAGCACGGGTATGGTGCTGACAAACCTAGAAACATAATCGGGGCGAACCGGGATTCGAACCCACAATCATAGGTTTCTGGCGTGCCCAAGGGACGCAACTCTGCACATCGAATCGCGGCGCCTTACACGACTGGGCCACCCGTGACCCCTGTAATAAAGTCATTTCACGGGTCAAAAGGTCAAATAGTTTAGTGTGCATAGTCCCATTCACTCACCACTCCAGATGTACTGGTTATGACTCGATCGATCACTTGTTTGTCTAGTCCAGGCTAGATTATTTACATACCACAGTCAAATACCGACTTTACTACTGATGACTACGGTGTAATGTAATGCTCTTTTTCAGAATACTCTTCGCAGATTACTACCAAAACGGGCTACCGTACATTGAAGACATTGTCATGCAAAAACATTTCCTGTTTTGTATTGTAGCCCACGTGTTGATTCAGACTGTCCTGACCTCACGCAGTGTCTGCAACTTCATTCTGTGCCACCATCGGCGCAACATCACCGACAACAGATAGCATTTACACATCATGACCCTGCTGCAACGCACAAAAACAGATGTTTTCCGGAGTGAAAAATGTCGCGTGACATCTGTCAACATCAGTGACCGCATGGAGTGGAGGGACGCTCATATAGTGCGACACAATTGTACGGCACGATATTCTGCCCAAGTCATGCCTCTCTCGGTGTACTTTACAACCTTAAACATGTCGAACATGGTACTGAAATCATAGATATAAATCACACTGTATGCAATGGGTAATAAACAAAACACTTCAATGAAATTACTTTGCATTTGTTTCAACTATACATTTGTGACTAACAGTTTTGCCTTCAAAGTTTTGTCTAAGACGCCTTAGATCTAAATAAGATTAATATAAACATGTTAATACAATGAGGATTTGTTCACATAATAGACATAAAACACACACACACACACACACACACACACACACACCGCATCTGGGTCAGACAAGGCATACATACAGGCCAGTGAGGTGTAAGCATTTCAAGGATGGGCGAAATGAAGATTGACACCATATACCGTGTTACCTCTAAGCAGGGTATGAAACTCCCAAAATTTTTAGCCAGACCACAGGACTGGCTAACTGAAATACTTGCCAGCCCTGACCAAAACCTGCCTGCCCACTTTAATCATATGTTTCACAGGATAATTTAATTAAAACTTTAAATCGAATTAATTGAACATGAAGTAATGCAAGAAAAGAAATAGCAAACACTTTTTAGATTAGATTTGTATTTAATATCCCAGAATACATCATGTAAATAATGCTTATCATCGGGAAATATTTAGAATATTTTTACATATGAAATATAACCCGACTGTCGGGCAGGGGGATTCGAAAATCTGGCAGCCCAAGTTGAAATCAACCCGTCTCGGACGGTCGGGCAGGCAGGTATTTCGAACACTGCTCTAAGGCACCGAGTATTTGTTGCTAAGTGTCACTCTCAAGTAAATATTCAGACTAATAGTTTTATCTAAAAAAATCTAAATCTTAATCTAAAAAATATTTTGTTTTGCAGCTGCGGCTGTAAAAATTATCTAGTCTCCATACACAATCCCAGCCCCACAAGCCTCCAACCCAGAAAATCAAAGCTTACCGTATTTCCTCTAATAAGCGTCCGATTCTAATAAGCAGCGTCCAACACAATAAACACCGGGTGTGTAAGAGTTGATAACTGTTCTGTATCAAGAACATATAGATCTAATGCTATTGTATTTCAATTTATCAATGGCTGTATAGCTTATGTCGACTGACAGTGTGAAATACCGTAAAGTCTTCGGTCTATTTGTTATAGCTGGAACAGTCTAGCTATATATGACCTGCAAATAATCGAATCTGAACCAGACAATATAGTGATTGATGCTGTGAACAACACCCCCTTCTTAGTTGGAAACATACTGACTGGCATTCGTCGAAACGAGAACCGAATGACTCAAGCCCAGATGTTTGTTTTAGTTTCTTACATTGTCTTTGTAAACGTCACTGATCATCGATAAGTCGGACTGAGAAAACAACAGGAGGAAACATTGCAATGATATGAAACAAATGGGAGTTGAAATGGGTTTAATTTAATGTCGCGTTTAAGATTATTTCATTGGCCTCCACAAACGTAAATACTACTTGAAACAGGTGCGGGAACATACTGGTTACTATATAATTGTGTAGCCTTATCTGTAGCGTTATTATTAACGACTGTTTCTTGTGCAAAACCCTTGTTGAAATATTGTGTGCGTGCGTGTGCGTGTGCGTGTGCGTGTACGTGTGTGTGTGCTTTTCCTGTTCCTAGTCACACTTTCGCCATCTTTGATCGAAAACAGGCTTGGAGTGTATAGCACCATGCAGAGTGAGTCGCATCAGCTGAATAGTAACGGAGGTGGTGACGTGTGAAAAAAGGTCAATACTTTATCTTCTGTCAACTGGACATCAAACTACTTTCTTAAAAGAGTATGTCCTATTGGCGTCCCAACCAGACTTTTCTATATGTTCGATATCATCGTGTCCAAGAGACGTCATGGCTGCATATTAAGAAGTTAAGCTAACCGGAGCTTGGGTTATAGAGTTGGTAAATGACGTCATCGCACGTGCCCCACGACGTCACCGGTGCGTGTGTACGAAAGCCCAAGTACCGATAGTTCCCGCCAATTCCAACGGCATTTTTCAGGGCCACCTCAAACGTCCAAAAAGAATATTTGAAACAGGTGGGAGAACAACATACTGGTTGCTATGTAATTGCGTTTCCTTATCTATAGCGTTATCATTAACGACTGTTGCTTATGCAACACCCAAGTTGAAATATTAAGCGTCGAGTCTCCAATTACGCCGGGCTTGGAAGCTTCTTCGAAGAATAGAGGAAATACTACATTCTACCTACATGTACCGCACATTTAATACAAGATGAGGAATGACAGTGTGAAATACCGTAAAGTCTTTGTTCTATTTATTTGTTTGTTGTTTAACGACGCATTATATGCAACAGTCGGAGGTGAGTTGAAATGGGCTTTAATGTCGCGTTTGAGATTAGTTCATGCGCGCGCGTGTGTGTGCTTGTGCATGTCCTTGTCCTTGTCCTTGTCTGTGTAGTTGCACTTAGAAAGTTTGAGAACCAATCCTACAATTGTTCTCATGGCCGCCTCCTGAACTGTTTCAAACTTTCGCCATCTTGGATCGAAAACAGGCCTGGAGTGTATAGCACCATGCAGAGTGAGTTGCGTCAGCTGAATAGTAACAGAAGTGGCGAAGAGTGGAAAAGGTCAATACTTTATCTTCAGTCAACTGGGCATGAAACTACTTTCTCAAAAGAGTATCATCATTGGCGTCCCAACCAGACTCTACGAGTTCGAAGAGTGCTGTCACGGAATGTCTTCAACTGGAAGATTTTTGGTCATCTTCTATATTATGTTCGATGTCATATCGTGTCCTAGAGACGTTATAAGAAGTTATGAAGCTAACCGGAAGTTGGGTTTAAGAGTTGGTAGATGACGTCATCGCACGTGACCAACGTCATCATCGGAGCGTGCCACAGAAGCCTTATGACGTCATCGAGGCACGCGCAGTATCATCTCATTAAACCATTACAATCTTGCTCTGTTCATCAGTCTGATACAGAAGTTCGAAGCATGCAGACCCCACCAAACTCGTCCTTATTCGTCCAGTGCCGACCTTGCAACACAGATGACCAAAGTTGTTTGTGTTGCCATACAGTGTTCTGTGAAGTATGTGATGAGAAGAGACATCGTTATTGCAGATGCACACAGAAGCATGTGTTTGTCAGCAATTGTGACAAGCATTATAACAGCACCTGCTGTCGCAGGGAAAGCAGCAGTTACCTGCCCCATCCCTGGTGTTACTGTGACAAAGATGATCATCTCAGTCATGGCCGTCGTACCGAGACCCAGAGCCACCTGGCAACTGGTACCGCTACAGCCACTGACCGACCTCCACGGAACATACATCAGGGTGCAGAGCATGTTGTACTCACTCTATTGAAGGACAAGATGACCACCGTCCTGCAATGTTTACAGGATATGCAAGTTCAACTCAGACGTTTCTTGCAGGTGCGAGAACTCCTGGAAGAACCCATGGAGATTTCACACTGACCCGTTTATGGGTCCACTGATCTGGTATGCCCTCAACCCAAGTCTCCCCTGTTGACGGTTCCCGCCAATTCCAACGGCCCTTATCAGGGCCATCCCAAATGCCAAAATGAATACTTGAAACAGGTGCGAGAACATACTGGTCTGTAGAAAACTGTATAAATTTGAATTGTTTGATAGGCATTTCTTAGAAGTTGACAGATGACAAAATGGACACAATTAATGGATAACAACTTCTTTATTTTACCGTGATGGCGATGGTATAGATCCTTTTACCGTTATTTAACCTACCCATGTTAATCTCTCTCATGTATGCAATTGTAGTTACTGCTAACCGGAAGTTGGGTTATAGAGTTGGTAAATGACGTCATCGCACGTGACCAACGTCGTCATCGGAGCGTGCCACAGAAGCCTTATGACGTCATCGAGGCACGCGCTGTATCATCTCATTAAACCATTACAATCTTGCTCTGTGCATCAGTCTGATACAGAAGTTCGAAGCATGCAGACCCCACCAAACTCGTCCTTCTTCGTTCAGTGCCGACCTTGCAACACAGATGACCAAAGTTGTATGTTTTGCCATACAGCGTTTTGTGAAGTATGTGATGAGAAGAGACATCGTTATTGCAGATGCACACAGAAGCATGTGTTTGTCAGCAATTGTGACAAGCATTATAACAGCATCTGCTACCACAGGAAAAGCAGCAGTTATTGGCCCCATCCCTGGTGTTACTGTGACAAAGATGATCATCTCAGTCATGGCCGTCGTACCGAGACCCAGAGCCACCTGGCAACTGGTACCGCTACAGCCACTGACCGACCTCCACGGAACATACATCAGGGTGCAGAGCATGTTGTACTCACTCTATTGAAGGACAAGATGACCACCGTCCTGCAATGTTTACAGGATATGCAAGTTCAACTCAGACGTTTCTTGCAGGTGCGAGAACTCCTGGAAGAACCCATGGAGATTTCACACTGACCCGTTTATGGGTCCACTGATCTGGTATGCCCTCAACCCAAGTCTCCCCTGTTGACGGTTCCCGCCAATTCCAACGGCCCTTATCAGGGCCATCCCAAATGCCAAAATGAATACTTGAAACAGGTGCGAGAACATACTGGTCTGTAGAAAACTGTATAAATTTGAATTGTTTGATAGGCATTTCTTAGAAGTTGACAGATGACAAAATGGACACAATTAATGGATAACAACTTCTTTATTTTACCGTGATGGCGATGGTATAGATCCTTTTACCGTTATTTAACCTACTCATGTTAATCTCTCTCATGTATGCAATTGTAGTTACTGCTAACCGGAAGTTGGGTTATAGAGTTGGTAAATGACGTCATCGCACGTGACCAACGTCGTCATCGGAGCGTGCCACAGAAACCAAATGACGTCATCGAGGCACGCGCAGTATCATCTCATTAAACCATTACAATCTTGCTCTGTTCATCAGTCTGATACAGATGTTCGAAGCATGCAGACCCCACCAAACTCGTCCTTCTTCGTTCAGTGCCGACCTTGCAACACAGATGACCAAAGTTGTATGTGTTGCCATACAGCGTTCTGTGAAGTATGTGATGAGAAGATACATCGTTAT